CCGCCCCGAAGAGCCAGCCGGTGCGCCGGCCGTTCCCCCCCGGCCCTCGGCCCTCCTCCTCCTCCTCCTCCTCCTCCTCCTCCTCGGCCCCGGGCCCCGGGCCCCACCTCGCAGGTCCCTGTACCCCTCGATCATGATGGCGCACAACCTGTGCTACTCGACGCTCACCTCCTTCAGCGACGCGCAGAAGTTCGGCCTGCGCGAGGACCAGTACATTCGGACCCCCTCCCAGGACTACTTCGTCACCAAGGACACGTATCGGGGGCTACTGCCGGAGATTCTGGAGGACCTGATTTCCGCCCGGAAGAAGGCTCGCGCCGAGCTGAAGAACGAAGCGGACCCCTTCCGCCGAGCGGTGCTCGACGGCCGGCAGCTGGCGCTCAAGATCTCGGCCAATTCGGTGTACGGGTTCACCGGGGCCACGGTCGGCCGGCTGCCCTGCCTGCAGATCTCCTCCTCGGTGACGGCCTTCGGCCGGCAGATGATCGACATGACCAAGAACCATGTGGAGAGCCACTTCACCCGGGCCAATGGCTATGAGCATGATGCGCGGGTCATCTACGGTGACACCGACTCGGTCATGGTGATGTTCGGCACGGAGGAGGTCGGCGAGGCCATGCGCCTGGGCCGCGAGGCGGCCGACCTGGTCACGCAGACCTTCATCCGGCCCATCCACCTGGACTTCGAGAAGGTGTACTACCCGTACTTGCTCATCAACAAGAAGCGCTATGCCGGGCTGTACTGGACCAACCCGAAGGACTTCGACAAGATGGAGTGCAAGGGCATCGAGGTGCGAGCGGGGGCTTCCTCCGGGGCGATGTTTGGCTCCTTGGCGCGTGCTTGCTCCCTGCTAACTGCCTTGGCGTCTCCGTGTCCGCGGGGGCGGGGACCTCCGTGTCCTGGGGCTGTCGCGGCTGTGTGCCTCCCCGGGGCTGGGTCAGACCGTGCGCCGTGACAATTGCCCGCTGGCCAAATCCATGGTTGATACCTGCTTGCGAAAGCTGCTGATCGAGCGCGATCAGCAGGGGGCCATCGAGTGCGTCCGCCTGGCTGTTGCTTTGCCCGCGTCGTCGCGTGCGGCATTCCCCTCGCCAGGGTCCCCTCCTGGTCTTTTGTCTCGGTCTTTCTCGCTCTCGCTCGCTCGCTCGCTCGCTCTCCCTCCCTCTCTCTGTCTCACACACAGGCGCATCGCACGCTCGATCGACAGCTATGCCAAGCAGATGATCTCGGACCTGTTGATGAATCGCATCGACATGTCGCAGCTGGTCATCTCCAAGAGCCTCAGCAAGTCCGGCGAGGACTACGCCGCCAAGCAGGCGCACGTGGAGCTGGCCGAGAAGATGCGCAAGCGTGACCCGGCCACGGCCCCGGTGCTGGGTGACCGGTGCGTCCTTTCCCTTCTCTCTTCTTCTCTCCCTTCTCTCCCTCCTCTCCCTCCTCTCCCTCTGTTCCCCTGAGGCCATCTCCGGCTGTGTGTGCCAGTCCAGGCTTCCCCGACCCCGCCCTCCTGTTCACCCCGCCGCGCACCCCCCCCCCCCCCTCCCCCCCCTCGACCTATTCCCCTTGGGGCCGTCATCGCAGCGTGCCATATGTCATTATCAAGGGCGCCAAGGGCGTTCCCGCTTACGAGGTGCGTCCGCCTGGCATGGCTGTGTCCTCTTTCACACCCTCCCTTCCCTGTGCATTGCCCTGTCCCCCCCCCCTCGCCGGGGGCCTCTCACCTCCCAATGTGGCCACACAGAAAGCGGAGGATCCGCTCTACGTCCTGGAGAACAACCTGCCCATCGACGCGCAGTACTACCTGGAGAACCAGCTGTCCAAGCCGCTGATGCGCATCTTCGAGCCGATGATGGGCGAAAAGTCCAAGTCGATCCTCGGTTCGTGTGGCCGCGCCGCCCCCTTTCACTTTCCTTCCCCCCATGTGCCCTTTCCCTCTGCCTTTCTCGTCCCTGCCCCTCCTTAACCCTTCGCTTGTCCTGGGGCCCTTCTCGCCGCTTGCATCGCAGCCGGTGATCACACGCGGTCCATCGCCGTTTCTACCCCCACCATTGGCGGCCTGATGAAGTTTGCCGTGCGAAAGCTCACATGCCTCAGCTGCAAGATTCCCCTCAACGATCAGGGTACCTCATGTGTCTTGTGCTCTTTTCTCTTCACCTTGTGTCTTCCTTTTTGCCCGGACCCCTCCTTATTCCCCCTCCTGCTCTCTCCCTCCCTCTCTCCCTCCCTCCCCCGCTCCTGTCCCTGCCTGGCCCTTTCTCGTCACAGACAAAACCGTCTGCAGCGATTGCAGCCACCTGGAGGTGGAGGTCTATCAGAAGCAACTCCGGGTGGTGGACGAGCTCCAGGGGAAGTTCACCCGCCTGTGGACCCAGTGCCAGCGTTGCCAGGGATCCCTCCTTACCGAGGTCCTTTGCACGAGTCGCGACTGCGTACGTCCATCTGCCCCTCCCTCGCCCACCTTTCACTTCGCCCTCGCCGACATGGTTTTCGGTCCCTGCGCAGGGGTGGCCCCCTCGCCGACCGGCCGGCCGCCGTCCCATCATGCTGACCCGCCTTTCCTTTCGGGGCCAGCCCATCTTCTACATGCGTAGCCGCGTCCGCAAGGACATCCAGGAGGCCACGGCCACTCTGCGCCGCTTCGATCTTTCATGGTAACCGGGGCAGAGGCCCGGATCCGTGTGCCCGTGCGCGATGGGGCGCCCCCCTTTGCGCGGTGTGTCCCCTTGCGGCGGACCGCCAGCAGGCCCGCCCCCTCACTTCCTCCTCCTGCCCCACCCCCTCCCCCCCATTCGCAATCCTCAAATAGACGACATGTAGTTAAGTCACCGCGACCTCCGCCTGATCACCCCACGTGATCCACGGCCGATCGGTTCACGCCCACCATGGCGTCCCGGCTTGCGGGTCGATCTGGGCGGGTTTCCCCCGCGGCGATTGGCCGAAGGCCGGCCGGTGTGTGCCGAGCGGGGGCGGCTTTCGCGTGGCAATGTCAGCCGGTCACAGTGTGTCCGTGGGTGCACACGGGCGGGGCGGGCCCCCCTGCCCTGTTGGGTGGGTCGCTGGTTCTTTGGCCGTGCGCATACGCGCATGTGTGTGTGTGTGCGTGTGTGTGCATATGCGGGTGCAGGAGGAGAGTACCTTTTTGCATGCCAGAGGAGGACCCTGCCCTTGGGCTTTTTCCCAAGGCCCGGTGGCGGCGCTCATGTGTGCGACATTGCCAACACCCGACAGCAACTTGTTTCCCCCTCGCCAGGACATTCGCCCCTCGTCCCCCCTCCGCCCCCTGCCATCCTCCTTTGTGCCTTCCTTTCCTTCCGCCCCCCCCCACCTCCCCCCTCCCCTCCGCCCGGGCTTTTGCTCGTCTGCTTTCCTCGCTCCCTGTTCTCGGACTGCCCCCGCGCCGCGGGTGGACAAGATGAACCCCCTGCGCCGGCCCCCAGATCGCCTTTTTCTGGCGCTGCTGGCGTTGCTGGTCGCGGGAGCGGGAGCAATGCCGGTGCCCTTGGCCGGGCTTTTGGCAAGTTCCCTGCCGCCTGCGGGGGATCCCCTTCCGCCTGGCCTGGCCCGGCCGGCCGGGGTCGAGTGGAATCTCCAATCGTTGGCCCTGGAGCGGCGGCTTGGTTTGCAAGACCATTGCCGACGTGTGACGGTTGGTTCCGGGCCCCCCAATGCCCTTCGGTCGTCGGCCCTCGCGCGTGATGGTAGCACGGGTGCCGGGGCCGATGGCGCCGCCGACAGTGCGGACCCTTGCATTGGGGATCTTGGTGGCCCGGTCCTTGAGGAGGCCCTCTTTCGCCAGGCTACCGAGATCCATGCCTTGGTGGATCTGACCATGTACCGAGCGGCTCCTCCGTCCCCGAGCCATTCTTCGAGTGGGTCTTCCAGCTCGTCAGGCAGTTCCGCCGGTTCGTCCACGGGTGGTTCCGCGAGTTCGTCTGCCAGCGTCTCGGGCAGTGCCTCGGGCAGCGCCTCGGGCAGCGCCTCGGGCAGCGCCTCGGGCAGCGCCTCGGGCAGTGTCTCGGGCAGTGTCTCGGGCAGTGTCTCGGGCAGCGCCTCGGGCAGTGTCTCTACCAGCACCTCTACCAGCACTTCAGCAAGCACATCCGCCAGCACCTCTACCAGCACCTCTACCAGCACCTCTGCCAGCACCTCTACCAGCACCTCTACCAGCACCTCTACCAGCACCTCTGCCAGCGTCTCTGCCAGCGTCTCTACCAGCACCTCTGCCAGCGTCTCTACCAGCACCTCTGCCAGCGTCTCTACCAGCACATCCGCCAGCACATCCGCCAGCACATCCGCCAGCACATCCGCCAGCACCTCCGCCAGCACTTCTGCAAGCACCTCCGCCAGCACTTCTGCAAGTACCTCCGCCAGTGCATCATCTGCAAACACCCCGGCGGGGTCATCTTCCTCGAGTGCCCCGGCCAGCGCGCCCTCCTCAAGCTCTGCCGACCTTTCAGCCAGCTGGGCCCCTGAGGAGGACGAGTGCTCGGATGCCATCGTGGGGGCCGGCCTTTCGGTGGATCTCCTGGCTGGCCTGAGTGCAGGATTTCATCAGTTTGCGATCGATCTTTTCCATCACCCCCAATCCGGGGCCATCCCCGGTCGGGTATCCCTGTGTCGGGCGGCGGCGGCGGCGGCGGCGGCGGCCAGCGGCCCGAGCTCATGGGCCCAGCTCCTGCTTGACCCCATGGTTGATTGGTTCCGCTCGCCACTTCACCGGGCCTCGGTCGCGGGCGGCGCCCCGGCGGCCGGTTCCGCGGTGCCCGGGGCTTCGACCTCCGGGTCATCGGCCTCCTCTTCGGCCGTGGTGCCTCTGGTGCCCTTTCCCCTGGATTCCCTGTACGAGCCTCTCTGCGGGGCGGGCTCCTGCTCGCCGGCTCCGGCGGACTTCTTCGGTCGGGACCCCCTCGTGGTGACGGTGGCCATTCGTCTGCATCGCCTGGCCGTGGCAGCTGCCTCGGAGTTGGCGGCCGTGTGGACACCCCTGGAAGCGGCCCTGGCCCTGGTGGAGGCCGACATCTTGGCGGTGCTCACACCGGAGCAGCTGCTCTTCCTGCCATCGGGGTCTGGCAGCTCGAGCTGGCCGGCACCGGCCGAGCCTCGCCCCGCCGATAGCGGGGTCCTTGCCAGCCGGCTTGCCGGCAGCCCCGGCGCTTCCAGTGGCAGTGGTGGAGGCATGCGCTTTGCATTCATTCTGGCCCTGGAGGAGGGCGATGACCAGCCTGATACCTCGACATCCGGCTCCCATCCGAGCTCCGGGTCCGGGTCCGGGTCCAGCCCAGGCTCCGGGTCCAGCCCAGGCTCCGGGTCCAGCCCAGGCTCCGGGTCCAGCCCAGGCTCCGGGTCTGGCCTGCCACCGGTGGAGGGCTCTTCCTCTCCGACATCCTCCAGCCTCTCGGCATCATTGTCATCGTCCTCCTCCACGTCCTTCCCATCGCAATCGAGCTCTTCCGCACATTCGTCCATCGACCCGGACCCCCCGACGGGCTCCTCGTCCGTGCCCTCCTCGGCATCAAGCCCCTCGCTCAGTGCCTCGTCAGGTGCTCCCACCGGTCCGACAGATGCGTCGATTGCGTCCGGCGGTGCCCTCAACATCCGAGCCAGCATGCTGAGTAGTGCCATGGGCTCTTCGAGCGTTCCCAGCTCCTCCGGGACGTCCAGCACTGCCGGGTCATCGAGCGCCTCCACTGTCACCGGGTCTTCCGGCTCTTCCGGCTCTTCTGCCAGTTCTGGCGCATCGGCATCCACAAGCACTTCTCATACCTCCAGCAGCTCGACGCCCTCTTCCGGCGCCCCGAGCTCCTCCGGGGCATCGAGCTCCTCCGGGGCATCGAGCTCCTCCGGGGCACCGAGTTCTTCCGGGGCATCGGGTTCTTCCGGGGCATCGGGTTCCTCCGACTCACAACCTGGCGACGTGTCCCTGGGACTGGCTCCTGGGTGCTCTTTCCTCCTGGATGGGCGTGCCACATTGGCATGTCTAGGATCTTCTCCTCCGCCTGTTGCCTCCTGCGTTTCCCTGACCTTGGATGCTTGGCTGGCCCTGCCGATGGACCCGGTGACAGGGTGCAGGGTGGCTAGTCCGCCGCCGGTTGGGGGACACCCCCTCCTGGTCGTCCAGTCGCCGGGTGACAGCCGGTCCTTTGGCGCGGAGGATCTCGCCCTCATGGTTCGTTCGGAATTTGCCTGCCCATTTCCCCCCTCTTCTTTCCCCCTCCCTCCTCCTAACTTGCTGCTGCCGCCACCGCCACCGCCGCCGCCGCCGCCGCCGCCGCCGCTGCCGCCTGGCCCCATGCACGCACGTCCCAGGCCTCTTGTGGCACGGTGCCGGTGTTGCGATCGGACTTGCAGGACCTCGAGCCCCTCAGCGGGGGGCTCTTCTGGGGCTGGGCTCCGGGGGAGCCCTCCGTGCCGGCGCATCTTGTCCCGCCGCCTTCGGCGCCTGGTGCCCCGGGGGACTCCCTGTCGGGCTCCGGCGCTTTGCCCGTGCCGCCGGCTGTTGGCGGCGCCGCGGCAGGCGCCCCGGCTGGCAGCCAACCGGGCTCCGGCCCCCTGGCGGTGGACCCGCCGGAGCCGAGCTGGCTGCAGCGGCGCTGCGCGGCGGTCTTCCTAGACGAGTCGCCCAGACGGGCGGCCCTCCAGTCGCTGCCCTGCTCGCGGAGTCTCCCCTACCTTTGTCGGGCATCTCTCACCGGGGTGTTTTCCCTGGCGCCGGGCGGACCCCCGAGCGGGGGGCCGGGCCCGCTGGTCGGGCAATTCCCCCTGCCTCCGACAGCCCCCGAAATTCCGGCCTTCCCTCTCCATCTGTCCGGGCCATTGTCCGGAGTCTCTTCCGGCGGCGAGTTCACCCCGGAGGAGCTTTGGGGCTGGCCCGGCCCCGCGGCCGACACCCTCTGCCCACCCGGGGCCACCTTCGCCACTGTCCAGTCTTTGGAGGACGCGCTGCAGGTGGACGCGCTCCTGCGGGCCAGTGTATGTTGGGCCGTTGTCGGATCCCCCCCCCCTCCCTTTCGTTGGTCCTTTCCTCCTAACCGAATGCGCCCCTGCTGTCACCTCCTACCCCTCCTCGCCCTGTGGCCGGAACGCCGCCGCCGCCGCCGCCGCCGCCGCCGCGACAGGGCCTCCCCGCGGCATGGATCCACCTGTCGGCCATGCACCATCCACTTTGCTTCTCGTCACATTTCGCCCCCTGCCCACTGGGGCTGCCCTTTGAGCCGCACATCCTGGCCACCTACTCGCCCGACGCCGGGGAGGAGTCCAACTCCGGCGGGTCGTCCAGCAGCCGCGAGGCCCCCACCCTGCCGCCGACGTCCGAAGGCTTGAACCCGACCGAGCGCCAGGCCGTCATCACGGTGTCCATTGTAGCCGGCCTGGTGATCCTGGTCTTCTGCGGGGTCTTCGTATACTACAAGGCCACCGGTGCAGTGCGGTACGTGCGGTGGCGTCGGCGCGAGCGCGTGCGCCGGACTCGCGCCCGTGCCCGTGTCGTCAGCGTGGCCGCCTGAGCCGGGCTCCCCTCTTCCTGACCCCCTGTACACTAAAAAAAAGAAGGGAGGGCTTGGCGCCCCCTCCCCTGCGCAAAAGGAACGACACGGCCCGGAGGACACCAGCTTAAGGAGGGCACATGTTGGGAGGGGGGGGAGATGGCGAGGGGGGGAAAGGCACACAGGTGGCGGCAGCCTGCCGATCTAGGGGGGGAACGTCCAAGCGCGCGCGCGCGCGCGCGCACGCAAGGCAGACATGTGAGGGGGGGGGGGGGAGGTGTTGCCACGACCGAACTCAGAGCGCCGCTCTGATGGACTCGTCAGTGGCCATGTGGCCGTAGTAGCTCTGTGGCGAGAGAGTGGAAAGCGCCATGCTGGCGCTGAAGTGCTCGCTCGATGTGAGGTGGGAGGACCGAACCGAGGCAAGAGCCTCAATGGTCAGATGGCTGGCGGAGAGCATGATGCTGCGCGACCGGGAGACACGTGTATGTAGGATATGTGCTGGGGGATTCCGGCAGCGCGGGAAAGCCCGGGAGCCAGGCCGCGGGTCGGGTGTCAGAGGGCGACGGGGGAGGCGGAGGCGGAGGCGGAGGCGGAGGCGGAGG